AGCCGCCCATAGAAGAGGTCGAGGCATGAGGATCCAGACCAAGATGATCATGGTCTTGGTCCTCATGAGGGGGAGATCCCGGCTACCACTACTCAACCTATGGAGTCCGCTGCACCACCACCACCACCACCTCAATCACAAAACTAACCACCATCATCAACCCAAGGAACCAAAGCGAGGGAACCAGAGGCTCAGCTCTTTGAAGATGTACATAATGTACATGTTCCCTTCGCAACCACCCAAGAACCCATCGAGCTAAGTTCATCATCTGATGAAGAACAATCCACCCCTCAAACAGAAACCAACCTACCCTTCACTCCATCACCAACTCCTAACCTACCCTTAACTCCTTCACCAACCCCACGCATTATAGAACCTTTGACCACCTTACCCGTACAACTAGAACCCACAATCATCCAACCTTCCTCACCCCAACAACCTTAAACCCAAACAGAACCCCATGAACTAGAAACCACCCATCCTGAGCCCAATGAACCAGAACTACCCCAATCCAAGCCAACCCAACCCAACAAGAAACCATTCCATCACCAACCCAAACACAATCCTTAGCCCAAACACAACCCACAACCCAACCAACCCAAGCACAAGCAGACGTTCCATCTTCATCGAGGCATCCTCCTCAAGGGGTCGTCGATGAAACAATTGCCAACATGGAGTCACTAAGGAGACGTCCAGTGGTGCCGCCAAGGGAGCCTGTAATGATTGAAACATCCATCAATACCTATACCACGATTGCGATCAAGGTTTAGCTCTCAATCCTCCCATGCTTTCACTAGAATTGATTAACCTCCTACGCCACAAGTTTGTTAGACAGACGACCCAACCACCACAGGCTGTCTTCTCAAATGATGGAATAAGGACGGTCATGGACATCAAGATGAGGACCTTCACAAACAGAGCCATCAAGTATATCGAGTACACTGTGGAGTGAGCCCATGGTCAGGTTAGCGTCTTCAATGACAATGACTTGATCAATCTCAATCCATATGACTTGATTGACCTTTATGTGCATACGACTCAGCGACAGGATCAAGGTATACGATTTGGGATGGCAAACAGAGCGATCATTCAGACGATGGAAACCTTGGTGAAGCATAGAGCCAAGAGTGATTTTCAAATTGCTCTTCAACTTGGCATCGACAGACCATCCTGCACTCCACCCAATGAAGACTTCACAGGCCTGCATGAGAAGTGATCTGCCTCTGTACTAACTCAACCAGAACTGGGTCTGGTATTCAAAAATGAGTTTGGAGCGAAGAAATTCTTTAAACTGACTGAAGCCTTCAAGTACTCAACATCAACATTTGAATGGTTTCAGAAGGTCATCAGAGACAGACTTGGTAGATCTCATGTGCCGATGAGAGAGGGACAAAGAATAATTCATTAGATCTCAACAGTCATTCAATACAGAGGACTGTTAATGCGTTTTTAGGAAATATCACAAGGGAGACCATGAATATAGTTTTACTTATGCTATGTATTGTAATATCTTTTGTTTCATCATTGTAAGAATTCATCATTTAGTCGAATGAAAATTTGGCAAAGGATGTTTTTCTTTAGATTA